CAAAGATGAATGAGGTCTGGCTCCACAGCCTTTTTGGTAAAGCCACCCGTTCTCCTGACTGTGTCCTGCCCAAGACACCCCACTTTATACTTCTATGAGGCCAACTGGGATAGCATTCAACAGAATGAGAGTATAAATGTCCGAGAACAGTTCTAGCAAAAATTCATTTCTATTACATTTATAAATTCTGCATTGGCCAGGCCTTAGGTTTACCTAGAGAATATGAGTGGGACAGACCTAAACAAAACTGATGGACGCCTGCCCTTCTACAGAGAGCTTGTAGGGTACTTCACATACGAGAAGGTGGAGCGTGAAAACAGAACATACTAATACCACCTGTCACGGTTTAGAAACATATCTACAAATGTTTTTCATGGTCTTCAGACCAAAAGGGGATGTCTAATTCCCCTCTCCTTAGAGATCGGCTGGGTGTACAGTTTCTTTTTTTGGTACTGGGCATCAAACTCATGACCTCACCCTTGCCGTACAGTTGCACTTCTAATAAACAGGAAGCGAAAGGTGAACAAAAGTGGAAGCAGTAACAGATGATACTGTGTGATTTTCCAAGGCAGAGTTAGAAACGGTGCTGCAACTGCTGCCTGGCTTTTCCTGGAAACTCACGCCTGAAGCCCAGTCATCACAGTGGGAGGAGCCAGGGTTACTACGGAGAAGCCATGTAGGGGTTCTGATCCGTAGTTCTAGCTGACAGCCAGCATCGGTGGCCACGTACATGACTGAACAAGACTTCAGAGAAACTTTCTTATCTTTCCAGGTATGAGGTGTTCCACCCAGTTCCACCCAAATTATAGGTTCATAGGCAAGACAGATATATTAAACCATTAAAATTCCAGATTGGTCTGTGATGCAGCAGGAGATAATTGGATGATAATAAAGTGTCCTGATTTTTTTTTTTTTCCTTTTTTCTGGTACCAGGGATCAAACTCATGACCGCCTGCTTCCAAGGCAGGTGCTTATGCCACTGAACTAAATCCCCAGCCTCTTTTCATTTCTTTTTTTTTTAATTTTTTTTTGTCCTGATTACTTACTGGGAGCCAAACATTGCTAAATATGTTACAGGATTATAATCATATTTAATCCTCTGAACAATCCAATTGTTCAATTGAATAATCTCTGTCATTCAGAGAACTGAGGTTCAGAGCAATTGAGTGACTTGACTGAATCGTAGTTTGTAATTGTAAAAAAAAAAAAAAAAAAAAAAAAAAAAGGACCAGGGCAGTTGTGTGTTGGTAAATATCTAACAACTAGGTGTTGGAGGGCAAAAGGCCATGATTTGTAGTTTTTGCTCATTTTCATGGTATAATTTTTATTTTTTATTTCTGTCTTTTTGAGGCAGGGTCTCACTCTGCAGCTCAGGTTAGGCTTAGCTCACTTTGTAGCCCAGGCTGGACTTGAAATCACAAGGATCTCCTGCCTCAGCCTCCCAAGTGCTGGGATTACAGGGGTGTACCACCAGGCCCAGCCTATGTTGTAAACTCTTCCACCACAGCTGATTTCAAACTATTGGCATTGAAAGTAAAGTTTGGAATTGACCCACTCATCAAGACTGCAGTTCACTCCTGAGTGGAGACTGCCAACTCCAGGCCCCAAATACAAGGCTTTTAAAAATGGGTGGTTACTATTCAAAAGCTTTGCATGGCAAGAGAAATCACCAACAGAATGGAGAGACAGCCCTAATGTGGTTGAAAATGCTTGCCAGCTGTTCCTCAGACAAAGAATTACCATCTAGAACACATAAAGAGCTAAAAAAAATCAGTCCAATCCAAAAATGGGCATCTGAGATGAATACACACTTCTCAGATGAAGAACTAATAATAGCAAATAAATATGTGAAAAAATGTTCAACATCACTGGTCATTCGAGAGATGCAAATTAAAACAACACTGCAATTCTACCTCGCCCCAGAAAGAATGGCTGCTATCAAGAAAAAAAGCTGGAGGGGCTGTGGAGAAAAAGGAACCCTTTTCCACTGGTGGAATGCTGACTGGTGCAACCACTGTGGAAATCAGTGTGGAGATTCCTCAGAAAACTAGGACTAGAGGTCTCAACCCAGCTACTTCCCTTCTGTGTATATTCCCAAAAGAATTAAAAACATCATACCACAGTGATATACGTGCGCTCATGTTTGTAACAACAGAATTTATAATAGCCAGATCTTGGAAACAATCGAAATGCTCATCAACTGAGTAGATAAAAAAGATGTATTTTTATACAAGGGAGTACTACTGAGTCATCAAGGATAAACTAGAGACTTTTATAGGAAAATGGATGCAACTTGAGACCACACTCAGAAGTGAAGTAAGACACACACGTGTAAACTCATACTCTCATACTGTCTCACTAGTATGAGAAGCTGAAGCAACATATGCATGTGTTTATATCTCTATATTTATATCTGTATATAAATACTAGCTAAGATAGTTATACTACTGATTTCTCTGAGTTCACTGAAGAGCAAGGTTTGTGCTGATACAGTTCAGACAACTGAACGCAGATGTCTTGTGCTCTGGGTGAATGATACGGGGATGACAATGCACAATGTATGTACCATTGTTGCCCCCTAATTGATGTTTTGAAATTTTGTTTTAGTTTTGTTTCTCCTTGGAATAAAATGGATTTGAAAAAATAAATAAAAATAAAAATGGATGGTTAGAAGCCTTTGAGAAGCCGAATGGAGCTGTGTGTGTTGACAGCTGGTCAGGAAAGCCTCCCTTGAAATATGGTTTGAGCTGTGGACCTGCCCATTTGGAGACCCGTCTACCTACTATGTGCCACCTTCTGATCACTGGTCATTAGCAGTACATCCCACTGGCAAACTTGGTGCTGTTGTGGTGTTTCTTTTCACCAGGACTGAAGCAGGAGGACTTAAAGGCACAGGATATATCTGGAAGTTTGAGTTGCTCTGGAGCAGAGGATAGAGAGCAAAGGGGGCCCGGACTGACCTTAGCATGTCAAGCTCCAGCAGGTGATGGATGGGTGGCTCCCTTTTCTCTCTGGCCCTTCCCTTTGGGAAGCCCTTGTGCAGAAAGGTATCAAATCCGTTAGATTAGGAATCTCCCCACCCAACACATACAATCCAAGGAGGCCGTCCCAGAGGAAGAGCTTCCTGAAACTTCCCCCTCACCCCTCCAGCACCTTCCTACCCTTTCACTGTGGTCGGGAACCTCCTGCAGGTGGCCTGCGGCTCCTGAGTGGCTGCTTCCACTGGGTACCAGTAAGTCCCTGTCTTTGGGACTTGCAATGGAAGTAAAAATCTCTGCATATTCTCTGCATAATTTTCACAAATCTGAAGTTGATTGTTAACTGAAAAACAAACACAATAAAAATTCCAAAAGATTTTGTGCTCTGTAAGGACGATTATTTATTGGTTTATTTATGTTTTTGAGACAGGTTCTCACTGTACAGGTTAGGCTTGAACTCACTATGTAGCCCAGGCTGACCTTGAACTCACAGCAACCTTCCTGCCTCAGCCTCTGGAGTGCTGTGATTACAGGTGTGTGTCCAACCTGGGAGAAGATACACTTTATTCAATATACAGCTTCCACAGAAAGATAATTATGAGGAATCACCCTCTTCTAGGGTAACATCAGCCAATCCTAAGGAGGTGGATTCATTTTTGACATACAAGACTAAAATACTGGAAAAAAAATGACATTCACTATTATTTATTTTTTTTGCAATTTATTTTACTGTACATTTTAGATGCACATACCAACCATATCCATCGTAGGGAATTTGTAGCTGTACATGATATATCTTGCTTCTTTTTTTTCCTATTCTCCTTTCCTCACTATGCTTATTGATTTAAAAGATATTAAGTGTTTGGCATTTGGGAATGGGGGTCACACTGCAGGGCAGGATACAGTTGGAACCTGCTCCCCAGCTTCAGCAGTCCCCAGCTGGAGGACAGGGATTTCCTCAGCCTGCCTCTCCTTGCAAAGGATCCCAACCTGCTGGTGGCTCTGCTTTTGGGGCTGCAGCTCAGAGGTAAAGCAGAACCTCTGGCCTTGGGTTCCGCACTGGAAAGCGACCTCTCACTTGTCAAGGGAGAAGATTTTCCATACACCATATTTTCTTCCCTTTGATAAAATTCCCACATATACATGATTAAATACATCCAAAGCAGCAGAAAATGAAGTTTGGTCTCCTTCTTTACTAAGTCTCTGTGCTTACCCTTAAGCCTCTGCTACAGACATTTCTGTTTTTTGTTTTTTCTCCTTTTCTCCTCCTCCTCCTCCTTGAGTGGGGCTGACCCCAGGCCTTTGCTCTGACTACATTCTCCACCCTTTTATATTTTTATTTTGAAACAGAGTCTCAGTTAAGTGCCCAGCCTGGGTTTGAACTTGTGATTCCAGGTTCAGCCCTCCTCCGAGCTGAGATCGCAGGTGTGCATCCTGCTCCGGCCATGTGGTCTTTGTGGGTCACTTTCCAGATCCATTCTGTGAGTGTTGCTCACACCCACACCCAGGCTTGCCCCCTCCAGGCACCCAGCTGGTCTCAGAGGGCCTGATTTTGTTTGCCCTCCTTGCTGCTGCTCTGGAGGATTCTTTCTTGGTTCTGTTTCCTCTCTCTCTTCAAATACTGAAGTTCCCCAGGCAGTGGCCTCTTCCTCCTTCTCGCTTTCCTTTTCCTTTTCTTTTCTCCCTTCTTTTTTCCAGTACTGAGGACTGTGCACGGTCTGCACAGCTTGTCTGCGCGTTGCCACACTCTGAGAGACCCTTTAGGACACCCTGCTTGTGTTTCTCAATTAGACTGTGCCAGCTGCTCCGAGACCTCCCCACTACATATTCCAAACAACCCTGCACTTCCACCACGTATGGACTCCTGATGCCCATCAGACGCTTAGAGGTCTTTATCTGTTTCTAAAACACCTGCTCCCCAGTCCTCCCTGTCCTGGCAAAGGACAAGTCCACACCCTTAGTTACAGTTCCTGGACCCCACTTCCTCTCACATTTGCATCAGGTCTACCCATCAGCACATTCTTTGGGTTTGTTTGCTTTCAGTAAGGGGAGCAAACCCAGGGTCCAGTGCTTGCACACCTCCAGCCCGTCAGCACATTCTATCACCTTTTCCATTCCTATACATCCAGGAGCAGAGGCCCACTCACACCTCCTAAGGTAAGCCTGGCCCCCACCTTCTCACACGGGCAGCAGCAGCCTCCTGCTGGGCTCCCTGGAGCACTCTCCACTCATCAGCTAGAGGGATCTTTTACAGCCTAAATCCCAGCCTGTTACACTTATACACCTTTAACAGTTGCTAAGAGAGGATGAGACCAGGGGATCACCAGGAGTTCAAGGCCAGCCCGGGCTACAGTGAATTCAAGACCCGCCTGAAGTACAGCATGACCCATCTCAAAAAACAAAAAGCGGTTAAGAGATCATGATGACGGAGTAGAAGCTAGTGGCAGGTCACAGCGTCTTAGGCTCCTGCCACCTGGACATCTGGAGAAATTGGGTGACCAAGCACAAGAGTGGGGGCGTGCTGGTGGGCTTATCACTACTAGGTAGTGGGACGCTGGGCCCACCGACTCGCAGGGCATCCCGCAGTGCCCATGCACTCTCATTTGTAAAGCTAGTTTCCTGGAGGCGCTGCAGATGGGTTCCAGTCTTTACTGTTTCAAACAGCGTTCCTCAAAGGCATCGTGCACTTTCACTCCTATTCGGGTTCCCTTAATGCGATTTCAGAAGTGCAAGTGTTAGGGCCAGGGCCACTGTCATTTAAGATTCTGATCACATGTCCAACCTGCTCGACCCAAGAGGCCCCGGAGGGGAGGTTCTGTCTTCCGGACAGACGGCAGCAGGGGGCCAGGCCGTGGGCCTGCTGCCCCAGCGGGCGGTATGGGGCAGTGCCACTCGCAGGCCGCTCTTGTTCACGTCCACTTCTGTTCCACCGGCCGAGCGCGGCGCTGCCTCCTGGGAATCTCCTGGGCCCGGGCCCAGCCCTGACACCCGGCTGCAGCCGTCCCCCGCCTTCTGCACTCTCCCGCCTCCCCCGGAACTCTCGGGTTCCTGGAACCCGGCTAGGTGACCTCACGCCGCCGGTGACTTCACATCCGGACCTTCTGGGAATTCTCGGCCTCAGTTTTTCGTAAGAAAACTAACAGTGGAGTGGAGTGGAGTGGGGTGGAGTGGGGTGGAGGAGAGGGGCCGAGCAGTAGGCAAGGTGGGGGTGAAGAGGGGAGGGAAGGGGAGGGGCAGATCCCGGGGGAGGGGAGGGTTTGATTGTGCAGCTTCCTTGCTTGCTCTTAGGGGTTCGGGATGCGGGGGCGGGGGAGGGGACACATGCTGGACTTAGGGACCCACCCTCACCCGAATTCCAGAGGTGACCAGGGAACTGGGTGGTCAGCTGCCAGGGGGAAAGGGTACCACTGGGCTACAACTGGGGTGAGAAACCAATGTGCTAAATCTGAAAAGTAGGAGGCACAGTGGGTGGTGGTACACTTCGGTGGTGGTACACTTCGAAACAAGAGGCACGCCCTTCCCTTCCTTCCCTTCCTACGGCTGTAAAGGCCACATCGGCTTTAAATTCAGGGCCACCCTGCCAGATCATTGGGTTTAAATTGAGGAGGTCATCATGCCAGAGGCAGTGGACTGTTGATTTCAGTGAGAGCATGGATCGGAAGCCCCTCAGATCAGAGGTGTCTGACCCTCTGGGTCCCGGAAGCCTGAGTTACATCAGCAGGCCTTTGGGTTTCCACTGGCCATGTTCCCTTCACCTTCTTTCCCCCTTAGCCCTTCTCCCTGTTCCTGCCACCCTCCTGTGATCTTCAATAAACGTAGCTACTCAGACATACTACGAGGTGCAATTGGCAATCATTTCTTTGTCTACCACGACCCTGGAGTACTTTGGCCCACTCAACTGTGACAGTGGCACTTGCCTTAATCTTACCCCTCAGGAGGCTGAGGCAGGAGGATTGCAACCAGTCCCAGGCTAGCCTGGACTCACCTAGCAAGTTCAAGGCCATCAAGACCTTGTTTCGAAAACAAAAGCAAAAAACAATAAATAAAACAGTTGCAACGGACTTCCCATACAGCTAGACTGCTTAGTTATGTAGGGGGGATATGGGGGGCTGAAGGGACAGATGCCAAAGAAGGACTTTTTCAATTGATTTTGTATCCTGGACAAGGTTACCTCAGAACCCAGTTGCCTCCAGAAATGGCAAATGGAAAATGGAGGAGAGTAGAGCCCAGCCTCAAAAAACCAGGCCCTCATTGTGACTTTTGTGGGCCCTATGTGCTTTTGCCTTTATGGACTTTTTATCCATTACATTTTTTGTTTTGTTTTATTTTTTGAGACAGGCTCTCACTGTGTAATTTAGGCTAGTCTCAAACTCACTATGTAGCCTAGGCAGGCTTTTCCTGCATCAGCCTCCTGAGTGCTGGGATTACAAGTATGAGCCACCACACCCAGGTTAAAAAATTTTAATGTGTACTTTGACTGTGATACCACAAAGATGACCATGTTAATATCATATGTCAAAACATTTTCTTCCTAAAGATTTTTTCTCTTCAGATTTTAAAAGACGTGAAAACATTTTTACGGGCCCCTAAAAGTATTGTAGGCCTTAGGAACCACTTACACTGCTCTGCATTGGATGCTGGCCTGGGCAAAAGCAGGCTAGACAGAACATGCAAGGCCTGAAGGGAATGACTTGGATAGGTGATGAGCACAGTAGAAAGGTCTCCAGTGGCCTTCAGACTGAGGGTTTCAAGGTCAAGGCGGAGGCCTGGGCTACAGGGGAGGGACCTGCATGGCACTAGGAGGGCAGGCTGCTGCTGGAATGCACAGAACCCTGCAGATGGGGTCAGGGAAGAACCACTGAGGGGGGCTGGGCTGGTGTGAAGGGGTGGGGCACGGAGAGGACCTGGCGAGGTGACTGGCAGACACTCTTGCCCCTGTTCACCCCTCTGGGAAAGGGAAGGAGGAGGAGAGAAGCTGTATGTGCTCCAGGACACTGGAAAGTGCAAAAGGAATGTCTTTCACGAATAACACAGAAAGGAGAATTTGAGTAATTGAATAGGCATGTGGACAGCTTCAGGGCTGCCTCTGGCCCAGGTCCCTGCAGTTGTCTCTAATAGGTATTCTGCACCTCACCACCAGAGTTTCTTTCCCACTGGGCCACCTTCCCGCTCACAGAACCCAGAGAACAAAACTATCCCTCCTGGGCCCTTCCAGAGTTCAAAACGGGAAAAGCAGGCTGAGTCTCGAATTCAGTAGAAAACTGTCCTCTAATGTCATTGGGCTTCACGTTTTTTCAACCCCCCTACATAGCTGCACCCATCACTACCAAACAAGCTGTACTTCACTCGCACCTTGCAATACAAGCTGGGTTTTCTCCAATGAAGGTTAACCCGAAGTCAAGGGAGGGGCAGGAAACACACTTACTGGGAGAACAGCTCCATTCAGATGACTCCTTGAAAGATAAACCTTTAATTACAATATTTGCTCTAAAACATGAATTCAGCTGGGTGTGGTGGCACATGCCTGTAATTTCAGTACTGGTGAAGCTGAGGCAGGAGGTAGCCTGGGCCACCTAGTGAATCCTGTCTCAAACAAACAAACAAAAAAAGAAAAAAGAAAAAAAAAACTAAATTAAAAACTTTTTATAATACAAATTGAGCACCTACTATGTGCTTTGCACCACCTAGACAAAAGAGATGCTGCTATAAGCAGTTCTTCATGGGGATGACATTGCAATGGCAGTGGTTTGTCTGCAGATGGTTCTTCCAAAGCCAGCTGCATGTTCTTCTTCCCCCATTTTGCCCCAGAAGGTGGTCTCTAATGCCCTTGCATTTTAATCTGGACAAGCCTTGTAACCATCCATGTGATTCTTAATGGCTTCTCACAAAAGGCGTGCACCTTCTGCCTTGTGAAGTGAGACACTCCTTGGAGTCTGGAGCAACAATACAGGAAGTCCAGCTGCGCTGAGATGGCCTTGCAGCAAGGAGACCCAGGCCACACAGGCCACGTGCATATATTCTAGCTGAGGTCCAGGCACAACAACCCAGAAGAGGGGATCCCTGCTACATCTTGTTCAGTTCCTGGCCCACAGGTGAGGAAGAGGGTCGGGCAGAAAGTGCTGACAGCTAAGCCACTGGGAGTTTAGGTTTCAGGCTGCATAAACCAGAAGCCCGAGGAATGCTGAGCAGGAGGGGCTTGAGCTGCCTACTCCGGATAAGAATTCTGGCTGGTTAGGGGAGGACCACTTAAAGGGACAGACAGGGCAAAGGAAACAGGACTACCTGCGAGACTAAGGCAGTGATGGGAGACGATGGGGACACGATGGACAAGTTGCACACGCAGAGGCAATGACAGTACCCCGAGGAGGGAGCAGGGCCCTGCCTAGCAGTCGAGCCGGGCGGAGCTCAGACCAGGGCGAGGAGTAGGCCAGCATCCGCCTGGGACGCAGGAGAGGCTCCGGGCAGGGCGGCCGGGACGGCGCGTCCCGGCGTCTGAGCTCAGAGCCAGCCCCTGGCAGCGCGCCCGCAGTGTTTCCCGGCAACCGCCGCCGCCTGCGGAACGCTCAGAACCCGGCGGCCCGCGACGTCACAGCCGCCTCGCCGACGGCAGAGGACGTGCCCGCGGGCGCCAGGGGCGGGGCGGGGCCTCCGCGGCTGGCCCCGCCCACTCGGGCGGGGCGGGGCGGGGCCTCCGCCGGGCCTCAGGTGCGGCGGCAGGTGTGGCAGCAGGTGTGCGGCAGCACCGCTGCCCTCCTCCCGTGCCCGGTGCGCTCCGCACCCACACACCTGCCTCTCCCTGCTCTTCCTGCTGAGCCACCACCTTCAGCCGACAGACCTGGCTCCCGGGCCGTCCGGGTCACCTCCGCAGAGCCGCGGTCTCCGACCTCCCAAGCTGGGGTAACTGTCAGCTCTCCCAGTGGCCCCACGTTTTGTATTCTCAACATTCCCTCCCCTGCAAATGTATCTAATCTGCTGACGTGTTGTCTTCGCTGTTTAAGTCCCATTAGGTCAAGGATAAATTCTGCCTTATCTCTAATTTTATCACCTGAAGCGAACCTGGCACAAAGTGCTTTATTGATAAGCGTCAGTGGGATGAGTCTATAGATGCACTCATTCATTTCGGCATTCACTTTTTTGAATGTGTGTGAAGGCAGCCCTGATAAGCACTAGGAATACCAAGATGAGCAAGACAGGCACCCCACAGGCACCCCCTGCAGGTGAGAACGGAGATTCACTAAACACGAATTAGGGCACATCTAAAAGCAAATGTCTCTGAACTCCAGATGCCCGAGTTTAAATACTTATTTAATCACTTAGTCGGCACAGTTATGGGTGCTGTAATCGTGCCCATTTGACAAAAAAGAACACTGAGGAGAACAAGATGTTTTAAGCTGCTGGGCCCTGCAAGGAACTGAGATTCAGTGAAGGGACTCAGCACCACGGGATACAAGGTATATAGGGCAGGTTTGGCATTTTGATTGCTTCCTGTCCACCGCCACCTCCCAGAGGAACAGCAGGTGTGGCACTGCTGTTGGCCAGGAACCCACTCGTATGGCTGAGCTGGCACTGAGGGGCCAGTGTGGGTGAGTGGTGAGGTCCTGAGCTCAGTCTTAGGGCCGGAGCCTGCCTGTCTGTTCAAATGGAGTGGAATACGTGCAAACCCCTGCCGAAACTTGTGAGGGCAACCCAACTGCTAATGTCCCTCTCTCTGGAAGAGTCTCCAGGAGACTGGGGAATTAAACTTCCTGCATCTCTGGGTCTGAACAAGTTGTGTGTTCTCTGTCTGACACCTACCTCCAACTTTCACTAGCCAGATAGTTGTATTCAAATTTCAGAGGAAATGTTTTGTCTTTAGGGAGGGTCTGCTGTGGCACCCTCTTCAAGGAAATCCCTTGCCACTGTCCCATTGCTGCATGTTAGGGCTCCTTCCCAGAGTGGAAGGTCACCAAGGCAGGTTCATTGCTCTACTCCTGATCTGACTTTTCTTGTCTCTCGGTCTCCTCATTCTAAAATCTGTTTCCTGAGAACAGGATCGTTGGACCTGCAGACCAGGCCTGGCTTTCAGGAGGTGCTCAGTGCTTTTAGAAAGACAGACTGAAGCTGGGTGTGGTAGTACATGTCTGTAATGCGAGCCATCTGACAACTGAGGCAGGTGGATCATGAGTGTGAGGCCAGCCTTGGCTACACAGTGAGTTTCAGGCCAGCCTGGATTACATAGTGATATCTATCTAAAAAAAAAAAAAAAAAAAAAAGAGCACAGGCATACTGTGGTGTGATACAGTAATTCTGTAATCCCAGAACTTCGGGAGGCTGAGGCATGAGAACACAAGTTTAAGCCCTACCTTGACAATTTAATGAGACTTTGTGTCAAAAAAAAAATAAAAAGAAAAAAAAAAAGAAGAAGGCTGAGGATATAGCTTTGGGAGAGGGCCCCGACTACTGAAAAAAGAGAAGCAAGAGAGGACAAAGGAGATGGGAGAGGGGAGGGGAAGAGAGAGAGAGAGAGAGAACCTGTTCACTAAATTATCCAGTTTTCGGAACCTGAGCACGTTCTTCCAGGAGCCCCTGTGCAGCACACAGAGGCCCAGTCGTGCAGGGCGTGCTGACTGTCCATCTGTGAGGTCCTCCCACCTTGCTGGGCCCTCTGGGGCTGTTGTGCTTTGGAGCAGGGTCATAAGACCACCATGATGTCTAAGAAGGTCCAGGAGGGAAGGCCAGAAGTAGAAAGGGCAGCAGTGTGTGTGTGTGTGTGTGTGTGTGTGTGTGTGTAGAACTAAAGAGTGCCAAGGCCTTATGGCCAGAAGAGTGGCTTTTCAGAACCTTACAACCCTGCTGTTGCCAGGAAAACTGGGCACCTGGTGGCTGTGGCTGTTTTCTCCATAGTGTGAATACAGACTCTGCAACAAACATACCCACAGTCAGACACACACAGAGTAGAGATCAAACTTGTGTTTATTCAGTGACACCATTTTGGTGCAATGTAGTGGGATATGGACTGATCCTGAACAGACTAACACTGAGCAGACCGGTGCTGTGGCTGGTGGAGGGCTGAAGGAGAAGATGATTGACAGGCTCTGCTATATAAGAAATCCAGACAGAGGCTGGAGGGAAGCCACTCTGTGGGTATGTACAGGTGTATACCAGGCTTGTGTGAGCAGCACGTGCATCTGTACATGTTATATCTTCTATAAGCAGTCGGGAATAATCTCTGCACCGGGCCAGCACTCCTCAGAAGGCTGCTTCTTGGTCTTTCTTGCCCTTTTTGCAAGAACTGGGCAGGAAGTGCCCTCAGCAGTCCTCGGAAGATACCCTTTGTTCTTGGTCCTTGCCTTGCATATGCAGGGAGGGTCCCTCTTAGTGGGTCCTGGGGTCCTCAGACAGGCATCCCCATGAGAGACTCATGGGGCAGCTGGCTAGGAGTGGCTGCAGGGCATCCATGCCAGCTCCGCTTCTGCAAGGTCACTGCTGAGCCCAGCAGGCCTATGGAGGAAAGGCCTTAGCAGAGGGGAGGTGTGGAGCCCGAGGTCAGGGCCTAGGCCCTTGGGTGGCTCTGCCTGCTCTGTGACTGTGGTGCAGGATCGGAGCACTGTGTTTCCGAACTGGTCCACCTCCTCGTACTGCTCAGTCACAGTTCTCACAGCTCCACAGCACTGGAGGGAGCCACCTCGTCTGGTCTGCAGCTCCAGGGAGTTCTTTTGCCACTGTGTGGGCAGAGACTTGGCTGAGACAGGTGCAGGCTCAGGCTGCTCGGGGCCTTTGGTGGCCACCTCCTCTTCCCTAGCTTTCTTCTGAACACTTTCCTGGTGAAGCAGGGCCTGGCTCACATTCTGAGCTAGGTGTGTGCCGTCCCCTGAGACCTCAGGGCTGTCCTTAGTGCTGGAAGCTTCTGAAAGTTTCCTTGTGCCTGACTGGATAGAGATGAAAGTTGGGGAGGAAGGTGATTCTCTGTTGGAAAGCAGGACTTGAGGGACACCTGGGTATTCCCTTGATGTCTTCTGCTTCTGAGTGGGAAGGAGAGTTGAGACTGCCTGACCTCTGACCTCTGTGTGATTTCTGATCTTGGCTTCACTGTGGTCTTCAGTATGGCACCCTATTTTGGCTTGGCTCTTAACAGCCATTGGCTCTTTGACCTCCTGGCCTAAGCAAGTGGGTCTGGCTCTACTGCAGGCCGAGATAGTGACCTTGTGGGCACTGTGATCCTTCTGGGGTTCCTGGGAATGGCTCCTGGTATTGGCCTCGGGCTGGAGGCTAGACATGGAGCTGAGGGCTTTGTGCACAGCCTCTTCAATGTCTAAGAGCCTGGCTAGGGTCTGTTCCTTCAGCTGGGCAACCTCTGTACTGACCCGTGTCAGCTCCCCAAAAGCCTGCTCCATTGAGGCCTTGGATTTATGGGGGGTAGCAGGAGATGGAGGGATAACCCCTTCTACCTGGGGCACAGCCTCAGAGAACCTCTGCAGGGCCTGCACATCCATACTGCGTGCAGCCTCGTTCTCCAGGGCTTCCACCTGGCTCAGAAGGTCCTGGAGCTCTTGCTGGCTTCCCTGAAGAATCTGGGGGCTCTTTGGAACTCCCTGCTTGGAACATCCGATGGGCTTTTCTCCTAGTGGGCTGGGGCCCCACTGTGGTGAGGCGGAGTTGCTCTTGAGAGTGCTGAACTTGGTGGACTCAGGGCTCTGGGCACTGTTGCCAGCAGTTTGAACCTTGGTGGGCTCGGGGGCAGCTGTGCTGAGGTTATGCTGGGGTCTGGGGTGGTTCTGGCCACTGGCCCATCCAGCCAGAGGCATGCAGCCCTGGCCCCCAACAGTAGGAGCCTTGGCTGGCCAAGCTGCTGTCTCACCTGGCTTGTGTTCTTCTTGTCCCACCTCTGAGGAGAAGCTGGGCGACAGAGCTGCTAAGGGTTTGGGTGGCCTCTGAGGAGGGGGGAGCTGGCTTAGATGTGCAGGTTTGGGAGGCACTGGAGGCTTCTTCCTTGGAGGCGTAGTGGGCTCTTGTTTTGGGGTCTTTCTCTGGCCAGCAGGGTTGCTGTGAAGGGTATGAAGAATGGATTCCTGTTGGGGCTTGGAGGCCTGCTGGGTGGAGTCTTCATCATGGTGGCCTTGGACTGGGAGGTCAGGTCCTGTCACAGCAGCTGGGAGAGCAGGAGGAGGAGGAACAGAGGCATTATGGGAGTGCAGGTTGGCACCTGCAGCCTGGTCCCCAGATGGCAGTGTATGGTGGGTCAAAGGGGAAGTCTTCAGGGTGGTCTCTGCAGCTTGGAGGCCCCCTGGGCAGTCTTGGGCCATCATGTTTTCCAGAGGCCCCCAGGCCTTCTGTGTGCAGCCCTCAGGCTTCTCCTGCCCTGATGTAGGACTCTTAACTGGGCCTTCTGGCAGTGGGCTGGGAGCCTGGGCTGGGTGGACAGTCTCCCTGCCCCTTGGCTGGGGGTCCTTCCCAGAAGGCTGAGCCCTCCCAGGTGGCTCAGAAGTCCTCACAGGGAGAGCAGTGTAGATGCCATCCTGAATTGTCACCCGCCCCCTGAGCAGCCCTCTACCTAGTGCTTTCTCTTCCCAACTGACCTTTCGGGGGCCTGCTGGGATCCTGGAATCACCTCCAGCCACAGGCCTGCTGTTGCTCTGGGTAGCTGCTGTGACAGGGGCTGGTGCTTGCAGAGCATCCTGGACGGACACGGCTGTGGCTACAGAGGCAGAACTCTGCTTGTGCTTGCTCAGAATGTGCTGGTGCAGGCTTTGGGCTTCAGTGGTTGCCGTCTGCAGATTCTGCAAGGCTTCCTGGAGGTCTGGAGCCCTGGAGTCTGTAGGGGTAGCCATGGCCCCTTCTGACTTTCCCAAGGCTGCTGCTCCTTGCTTTTTTGTGTTCTGCCATGGGGCTGAGGCTGCACCCTGCCCAGCCAGAGGAACTGCCTTTGCAGGGGCCTGAGGTGGGCAGGAGGTAGCCCCAGGGCCTCTCAGATTCCCCACCCCCAAGCTTGGATCTAGTGGGGAAACATGGATGGTGCTCTCAGTGGGGAGAAACCTCTGGGTCCCCTCAGTGGCTGGTCCTGGACTTGGGTCAGCTGGTGGTTCCCAGTGCAGACTGTGCAGGCCACTCAGGTCTCCTTTGTCTATGCAGCTGGCCACCAGCTGCACACTGCCCCTTTCTGGGACCCTACTGGTTAGCCGGGGCTGTAGGGAGTAGGCAGTCAGGGCGACTAGACCTTGTTCTGTCTCCTGCATCACCAGCCCAGTCCTTGACACGGAAGCCCCGAGGCTACAAGCCAGCAGCTGCTGGAGCTCAGGATCCAAGTCTTCAATACTCCCATTGTTGCTCGGAGCTGGCAGCTTCAGTGGGTGGAGCCAGAGGTGGCCAGTTGGGTCCTCCTGAACCAGCAGGCCCTGCGGGTCCACATCCGGCCGGCGCAGCACTTGGCGGACAATCCTGGGAAGCTCGCCAAACACCAGCTCCTCCTTCTGTACATAGGGACGCCCCTGCGCTGGCCCTGGGAGCACGTACTTGGCAAGGCAGAGCTCCCCTGGCCCTTGGACCTCCATGAGTATGCCTCCGTGATGCAGGATCCCAGGTGTGGCATGCAGAGTCTGAAGTGTCCCCTCAGTAGCAGTCTTCTGCTTTTCTGGTGCTTCATTGCTAGAGAGCTTCCTGGGCTGCTCTTCCTGTAGGTCACCTCCTCGGATGCTTTCAGCTGCCAGAGAGCCCATGGGGCAGTTCTCAAAGAGCCAGGTGAACTTGCGCACAGAACCGCTGGGGGTGGGCCCAGGGGTTATCCTGGAGCCCTGACCCTCCTCTTCTCTCTTGCCAGCCTCCAGGGCCTGGAAAACTTCCTTCTGCCGAGACACCTGCCCTGAAGGGATCTCCACCCGGCTGCTGTATCGCACAGGTGGTCCTCTTCCACAGGGATGGGCCATGTCCTGCAGAGGCTCAACCTCAAAGACATGTCCATCAGTCTGTCTTTCCCTCGCCTGCACCTGGCTGACCTGCAAGTGCTTCTCCCTGGAGTCCTCTGCTGGGTCCAGAGGCTGGGGCTTGAACATCCAGGTGCAGGACCGTGCCTGGGCCTTGACTGTGGCATCCGTGACCTCTGAGCTTTGCTTTTCTGCCAGCTCACTCATTGGACATGTCTCAAACAACCACCGGATGGTTTGCACGTCGCCCTTGGCGGGTGCCTCAGGCTGGAGGCCTTCTTGACGCTTTCCCTCCTCCTCCTGTCGTTCCTGCTGCTCCCGCTGGTGGATCATCTCCAGGGGCTGGGTCTCAAAGAGCCATCGAGTCGTACCAACATCTCCAGCCACCACTTCCTGCCGAGTGATGCCCTGCACCACATCGATGGTGCTAGGGCTTCGACCCAGCTGGTCTAGGGGCTGAGTCTCAAACATCCATCTGTAGCCCTGCACATCACCTCCCACGACCTGCTCTCTACTGACGGAGGTCAGGGCGTGGAGCTGGCCCTTGCTGTCCTGCATGGCGTACACTGGGGGTCCTGCCGCCTGGGACTGCCCAGCACAATCAGTGATACCTGCTGTGCTCACACTCCCACAGGCTGAAGCCTCGCCCTGCCCGATACTATCCAGGGGAAGGGTCTCGAAAAGATTCTTGAAGGTTTTCACGTCCCCCTTCACCCCATCCCTCTGGGGAGCACCCTGAGAAGTGGGCAGTGCTAATGAGCTGTCAGACGTGAGCCCTTCACTTTCCTGGTGGCCCACCCGCTGCAAGTGACCCACTTGGATTTGGTCTCTGAGAGTGTCCAGGGGTTTGGTCTCAAACAGCCACAGAGTAGACTGCACATTGCCAGGGACCACCTCCTCCTTGGGCAGGGTCTTAGCTGTGGCCTCCTCCTCCTCTCCTTTCAAAGTGCTCAGAGCTCGGGTCTCAAACAGATGCCGCTGCTGTTGAACGTCTGGTCCAGGAGGGACAAGATCTGGAGATGGCTGGAAGTCCTTCTCATCTACCACGATCTCCCGAATGGCGTCCAGGGGCTGTGTCTCAAAGATCCAACGTGTGGCGCTGACATCGGGCAGGGACCCCTCCTCCAAGGAGATCCCGCGGATCACCCGCACCTGACTGGGGTCCTGGTTGAATGCATCCAGAGGGCGGGTCTCAAAGAGCCAGCGCCCACATCTCACTGCGTTGCTTTGGATCTCTTCCCTGCAGGCAGCCTTGACCTCGTGGATGGCGCCCTCCGGATCCTGGATGGCGCACAGAGGTTCGGTCTGGAACAGCTTCACTGTCTTTTTCACATCGCCTCTCAGCTCCTGGATCTCTGAGCGCAGTTCCAGCAGGCTCTGCTCCTGCATGGAGGGGCGGGAGCCCAGGCGGTCCAGTGGCCGCGTCTCAAAGAGCATCCTGGTCCCTTGCACATCTCCACTGGCTGCAGGCTCCCTTGCCGGGGCCTCAGTTACCTCTGTGCGGCCTGTCAGCTCATCCAGCGGCTTTGTCTCAAACAACCAGCGGGCAGCACGCACATCGCCTCCAGCTGGCTGGGTTCCTGCCAGTTGGGGGCCTACGCTGTTAGCAAAAGAGCCTTCCTCGAACTTGCGGGACGTGGCCTGTACATCGCCACCTGTCACGGGCTCTTTGGCAGCTGGCTGCTGACGATCACCAATGGTGTCCAGCCGCCAGTTCTCAAAGATCCAGCGCATGCACTGGACGTCACCCTCTGTGGGCTCCTCAGAGCCCAGGACCTCAGCCAGGTCCTCAGCCACAGCCTCAGCCAGGTTCTTTCGGAGCTCCGGGTGGATGTGCCTGTAGAGGCGGCGGAGCTCACTAGCTTGCCGCTGCTGGTGAAACTTGGAGAAAGATTCCTTGGGTGGCAGTGCTGGCAGGTCCTCCAGGGCTGAGGGTGGAGGGAGGGACAAGTCCTTTGCAGTTGCCATTGGGATGGTCGATGTAGGAGCCACTTGCATCTGGGTTTCAGCTGTCGTTCTGAGGGGAAGGGGCAGAGATGAGGATGGTATTGCGGTTCTCTGGTGGGGTGGAGCCAGTTGCTGGGATGAATGGCAGGGAGTAAAGCCCAGGGTTGATTGAGTTTTGGGTGACATTTATTAGAGAACCCCCTTCTCTGTCAGCCTGGCCTGGGGCTCACTTTGCTGCTTGTATGACTAGTGGATGACAGGTCTTGAACTTGGGACATTTGGGCTCACCCATCAGGATGAGTTCCTACTTCCCAGCCTTATATTGATTGCTAGGGAGTGAGGTGGGGTGGGGGAGCACTGATTTTGAGATTCTATCCTTCAGCCCTGCAAAGAATGCCCGATTTCTAGTGGAAAACAGGGCATTATGTTTGCCTTTATTTGCCAAAATCACTTTTCCCTGGTAAAAATCCGACCCCCGGGTGAGTGGCCTGAGGAAATCCTGTTTGGAATTGGAGGCTCCCTAAACTGTTGAGTGTTGATTTTGCGTGGGGATGCAATTCCTCAGTAGAGGAACAGAGGGCGCACTTGACAGTGCGCCAAACCTTTATTCCACTGCTCTCAAATCCAGACTTTCTCAGGCTCAGACAGATGTGGCAGGGGAGGGTAGCCCCTTCGATAGCAGAAGCAATCAAGAATCAGGAAGAGGAAACTGCTCAACAAATATTCTATGGTTAGGCAGGGCGAAATTCTCAATGCCAGGTCCAGTTTTCTGTGCTGTACCCAGGACTCAGAAGATCTAAGCTAGGTTGGATTTTAAAGGTCTTTTAACCCAAACTTTTTATGAGTAAATATGAGGAAACTGGACCCAGAATCAGATTTTGGTGAATGAGATAGATAGTGTTGGCCTGGACGCTCTAGACTCTGTTTAGGGATCCCTGACTCTTAAGAAATGAGAGGGCTGGGGATGTGAAGCTTTTGTATTGGCCATGGTAACCCATTTCTGCAGCAGGTGTGCCTGGAAGCAGATGAACGTGGCACCTCCTAGGGGAAAGACTGTGAGGTCAGGATCCTCTCTGCAGAGGCGGCCCTGGCCCTTGCCCATGGAGAGCCAACCTCATTGGTGTGCGGGCAAGCACAGCTTTGTTTCTGGATGTAGGACCTCAGGCTGAGACCTGGCCAGGCAGCCCTGAGCTGGCTCCCAGCTTCTCTTTCCCCTTCTATGCCAGGCAGCTTCCATAAGGCGGGCTTCACCCCAGCTCTGCCTTCACCCCTCAGTGGCCTCCTGTGCCTCACTCAAACTCTTCTTTAGATTCTGTCTCATCTGTGTCTTATCTGACTTGTGACAGGTGTTGCAACAGTCTCCAGAGCCCAGCAGGGAAAGAATGACAAGCACGTACTCCTCCTGCTGCCCCTGACCCACAGCTCCTTGACACTCTTGGGGCTAAAGATAGCTGAGATCTGGGCCCCAGAATAGCAGCCCTGCGCTCAGAGGGAGGGTCAGGCTCAGCCAGTGGATACCTCTCGGCCATGTCCCATGTCATCTCCTTCATTACCCTTGACTCTTGGAGGACCTGATCTCCTGCTTCCCATGTGGCCTCAGACTCCTGTCCTGCAGGCCAGCTGGGCACTGGAGCTTGGTGCCCTCCCCTGGCCAGAGACGTGACGGTTGTGGGTAAGTGCAGGGACTCTGGCAGCATGTGGGAGACAGGGTTTTCTCAGAAGAAGGAGAGAGGAAACTGACCGGGGGGTGACCTGGCTTTTCTACTGTGGACCAGAGCCAGAGGAGTGTGAGTGCTGACAGCTGTAGCTTAGTCTCCTGGACAGCCAGCCGCTTTCCCTTAATTCCTGAGCTCTGAAGGTAGCCTGAGCAGACATCATGTTCAGGCCACCAACTCCACCTCACCCCTGCTCCCAGGAATATTCAGAAACTCTGCAAGAGTCACAGGTTGTTAGAACCATAGGGTCCAGAGACACCAGACCAAGGACTCTTGGAGGTCACAGAGAGGGGAACTGAGAGGCTGCCCACCCAAGGTGAAAGCAGAGTCTACAGTGGATTTCCTGATTCTGGCCCTCCTCCTCCACCCTCACCTGGCCTGAGACCTGGGACAGAGCTGGGGTGAAAGCCGAATTCAGAATTGGAACCAGAGTGGACTGGGGTGTTTCTCAGGATGCCCGCCTTGGTCTGGTTGTGGATAAGTGCAGGGATACTGGCCACCCCCGCTGTCTTCACCTCTCAGGGACTCGGATCTGGCCTGAGGGCTTCCCCACAGGGCAAGAGGTGGCCGGGACACAGTCATCCACCCAGGTTCTAGGTCACCATAAGGGAGCTGGCCTCAGAGCAGCTCTGGGGAACAGTCTCTGGACAGGACATACAAAGACTTTTGCCTACAGCGCTGAGCAGGGACCTGTCCTGTGGTACTCTCCAGTCTGCCACGCCTCCTGGTTCTCCTCTGTCCTCTTCCCTCTAGTCCCTGGACTCCCCTGGGAGGAAGTCCTGAAGTCTGGGGTGCTTCTCACCTGGATTTTAAAGCTTGACTCTCCAGCACCCCCAGGCTTATCCTGACTGGTAAAAGTGCACACCTTTGGCTGGTCTAGGCCTGTGGCTACCACTCCGGGAGCTCCTGTGGGTTGACAGAAACTCTCAAACCTTTTTCATGGAACCAGCCTCCCCTCCCCCTTGCTCATGTGCCCCCCCCCTCTGGGCCACCTGCTATTCCCATCCCGGGGGAGGGGCGTGCAGAGGGCCCAGGCTTTAGAGTCGCCGTGCCATGGGAGGTCAGGGGCAGGTTGCTCACCAAGGGTCCCGCTGGGCCGACGGGGTACTGCTGGGTCTGTAGCAGGTGCAGTTGGGTCTGGTGTCCCACCAGACTTTCTCGTTTGCCGTCTCACTGCCCTGGCTCTGGGTCTGTGTTCCGCCAGCCCGGCAGCTGCCTTTATCTTGCTGGGGGCGGGGGGGGGGAGCGGTGTGGGGGTGGCTGGGCAGCTATGTTCAGAGTATTAAGTGGTTCTGTTATTTTTAGGGCTGTGGAAGTCTCTCTTGCATCCTGAGGCGTCAGGCATGTCCTCTGGGCTGGGGAGGGGCTGGGGAGGAGAGCTGAGCTTCATTCATCCCGTAGATTGCAGTCTGTGACTCAGCTGTGGCATGGGGCAGGGGTGATCAGGCTATTCTGGGTGAATGAATAAAGAGGGGTATGTGACATGCCCCTGGGTAACCCTGACCCCTAATCCTGTGAGCCCCCTATTCTCCAGGCTGGGCTGGTTTCTGAGCATAGATGTCATTCACACATCACTCTGCTGGGGGACTGGAGGTCCCCAGAGCAGGGCTGGCCTCTCTGTCCCTGCCAGGGCATCTCTGACAGTGAGGCCCAGCTCTCCTCGTCCCTTGTTCCCCTCTCTCCGTTCCTGAGAGAAGGAGGTTTGGAGCACTTCTGAATCGCCACCCCTAGCTCCCCATGAAGGCCTGTCATTTCCACACTGTCATCTAGGTCCTCGTCCACTTTTGTCTTTTTTTTTTTTTTTTGTCTTTTTATCGGTACCGGGGATCGAACTCACGACTGCCTGCTTGCAAGGCAGGCGCTTATGCTGCTGAGCTAAATCCCCAGCCCTCCTCGTCCACTTCTGGACTCTTCCTGTGACTCAGGGCCCAGACTCTCTGGGAATGGCGGGAGGGGAAGCTGGCGTGTGGGAGCTGACTGTGGGGATATTTCTGACCCTGGAGTCATAGCTGCCCAGTCACACACAAGGGTGGTGGTGAGGTGAGGGATCACATTCGCCTTCTCTTTTGCTGCTTGGAAGGGCCATAGGGTCCTGGTGGGCTTTGAGATTCAGGTTCCTCGGTCAGTGTGGAGGGAAGTTGGGGTCCCCCACAGCAGACACAGGAGGGGCTTTGGTCTGGGCTGGGGCTGGGTTCCATGTCTAAGTGGGTACAGGGACACCCTGTGTCCTGGCAGACAGTCTTCCTTCTGACAACCCGGATGTCCTCTGGTGCTAGAGGCTGATGCTGGACTCTGCTCACTTTTTCCATGGAGCCAGGTGCTGTCACCCTTGGGGGTGGTGGGGGACCCCGAGCCCTGTCCTCTTGCCTCTTGTCTGCTCTTTTCTGCCCTAGGCCAGCTCCCTGAGCACCAGCTCCCCTAGGAAGGGTGGGAATGTGCCCTCCTCTGAGGCCAGGGAAGGAGGAGGTTTCCCTGGGGGCCGGGAGGGGCCTTCTCCCTCGGATAATGAAAGCACCCACCTTCTGGAATAGCGCTGAGAACTCAGCGCATGAACACATGGGAAGGGTCTTGAGGCTTAACTCGTGGCATTGCTGTAGAAGCCCTTGCTTCTGAGTATATAAGAGAGGCCAAGCACCCAGGCAAACACATTCTTGTATTCACCTGAATTGGGAGAAATTCAGGCCTGGATATTAAGCTCAGCAGCTTCTTTGCTGTTATCTAATACAGTTTTGCTGTCCAGTGCCATTGCAGTAATCAGTTGGGGCTATTTAAACTGAAATACATTGAGATAAAATGAAATATCTGGTTCCCTCTGATATGCTGTCACATTTTAGATGTTCTGTAGAGATGTGTGGCTAGGAACTACTACATTGGACAATACAGATTTCCAGCATTGTAGAAGTTTCTACCAGATAATGTTTTTTTTTTTTTTTGTCTTTTTCATTTTTATCGGTACCGGGGATCGAGATAATGTTACTGTACACACTAAAATTTTTATGTATGGTGCTTCCCTTTTTGCCTTTGCTGATAAAATTTCCAAGCCAGATCTATAGGTTTCTGGCAAACGATCTTATGACTTGTGGCCTACGTAATGAGAAGGACCAAATCATCCCAGCTCTCTGTCTCTGCAGAGTTCCCCAGAACGAGGGACTTTCAGTTTTAAAGCTGGGAAAGTTGTGAAAAAACCAGGACCAGCCGGCTGCTCTGTATGATCTAACAGTATCACATCATCAAGGCATTCGTTACAAAGCTGCCGAGACAGGATTTGTTGGCTATGTTAAAACACAAGATGGCCAGGGGTGGTGGTGTAGCCTGTAATCCCAGCACTCGGGAGGCTGAGGCAAAAGGATCGCCTTG